TATCCCGTCATTATTGCCATTCTTATCCCTATTCGGTATTTCTATTTACAATCTGATATAATCATTGATTTCTCGCTAATCTTTATTATGTTTTATTTTAGGTCACAATTAATTCCTTTGATAATTGATATAAAATATGTTGAAGCGATCGATGGCTATCATTAGTGAACATAACTTTATTTAACAATTATTTTCTTAACATTGGTATACATTATGTTATGAATTGATGTGTATTTATATAAAAAATAATAAATTTCAAAAATGAAACTAATAATAGACAAAATAAAACCAAGAATTAACGGTCCGAACGCTATCTTACTGTTAGAGAGAGAAAATTGTTTATAATTAGGGACATCGATGTGTTGCTGTTGACGATTGAAAAATCTATATCCAAACTCGAGGGCGTCATTCACCCACTTCATACGTAAATCAGTTTCAGAAATGTCAAACATTCTGCAATTAATTAATATACAGTACAGTACATGGTCATTAAAATTACAAGTGTGTCAAATCATACAGCCTTTCAAAAGTGTCGAACAGATGTGCATCGATTTGGCGGCCGAAGAAGGCGGACGTGAATCTATAGAAAGTAGTCTCTGAGCCGTAAAATAGATTTTTATCGTCTCCTTTCAATAGACGGACAATAAAGTAATCACTGATAATACAGTGCCGATTGACCTTAGACTTAAATATGAGCGCATTCTTTGCCAGATTTGATAATCGGACGTTAGTTTCAAATTCATTATTTAATTTACTTCTCCTAATCAGTGATTTCTCCATAGAATTTCCAATTTTCTGTTATAATGTGTTTTAGGTTTATATTTTGTTACAAAAAATTAATTAATAATTACTTCAATTAGTTGTATGCTTTTCGATGGCATTATAATAAAGGGTGTGATGTCTTCCCTATCCATCAGGTATTCAAATGTATAGATTTTTGTGTATTCTTTGCGTATTGTTCTCAAGAGACTCAAAGAAGAGAAGGATTGCACCAGAATTAGTGATATAATCGACACCAAGCCATACATCATATAAAGTATTGATGGCTTGTATTGAATCCTAAAATCTGTTTTTATATTAATTTTAAATAATTGTTTGAAAATTTAGAGTTTTAGCTCACTTTTAAAGCAAACGATTTTTAACACAATATGTATTTCATTTGAAAATAATTTGGACCATGATGAACATTTTTTATCTTGTTTCAACCATTTATACGTTGATGTCAATGAAAACATGGTTATAACCGAGAGAAACATTAATATCCAAATCTTAATATAGTATAGCATGGTTAAAAATTAGTTGATGTATATTATAATTTATAAACAATGTTATCATTTCAATTGATTACCTGTATGTCAAATATACCACTAATAGCGAAGTAACTATCTCGTTTATTGATCGGATAAGTTGTGCCCAAAATACTCATCATTGGTTTGGCAAAGAATGACGGAACGGATACTTTACTCGAAGACAATATCTTATCGTCTATTTCAGCAAATTTTAAATAGAAATCCACTTTCTATGACATAATATAAATGTTTTGTAACAAATGAAAACTATGCATCATGGTTAAAAATATATAAATTACATTTTCAATGACATGATCGACAAAATCTCCTTCAATGCCGCTGTGATAATCAGATTCCTTAAAGTTATCTCGTGTTATATATTTGGGAATTGCGCTAAAATGTCAATCAATTAAATATTATAATCAAAGTAAATATAATTAATAATTTACTTATATTGTAATCGTTTGACCAATTCTTTAACAATGAAATAGTAAGGACTGCACAGAAAATTTTCCGCCTCTTCAAAGATCTATTAAAACAATTAGAAATAATGAATGAAATATATAGAAAGCAAATGAAATATTGTTCAACAAATGCCAAACCGCTGAATCCCAACTAAACGTGAAGTTTCCCTTTGGCTCAAACTCGTGGCCGAATGTTTGAATGGAGTTGTGTTCAAATTCTTGGCCAAAATAACACTCAAAATTTGCTTTGATTGGAAACATTTTGTTATTTAATTGTGTTACAAATTTCAACCATGTTCAACTACTTCAATGTTTCTAGCTTCAATCTTAATAGTGTGAATAGTCTGAAGTGTAAAGATTATTTAGAAATAATGATCTTACACAAATTGTATTGTATTGTACAAATGTACCGAACTTAATGTTTTTAGATATTTTTAATCTAGACAAATGGGTATTTTAAACTATTATTAATAAATGTAATGAAATAATATGTTAAATTACTAGTTACGTAATGACAGTCAACTTTTTATTTCTATTCCAAGTCCTGGATTATATTGACATACAGTATAATGTTTGGCGTTTATTTTATTAATAAAAATGAATATTTAAATTTTCTTTATTAAAATTGATATTGTATTAATACAATTGATAGAAAAGGCATTTGAATAAAATATTTGTTAATTCTCTATATAAACAAAAAACTTTTATAGCATAAAATTTCACATTTCTATTGGATTTAGTATTAATTAACATAAGAAATGATAATTGTATAATCCAATCAATATTTTATTTTATTATTTGCATAAAATGCATACCTCATTCATATAATAAATTTAATGTTATGTGGTCTTTGTTGTTAGATTAAATTAGCATATTAATTTCAGATCCATACTGCAATTTATAACAAGCATAAAGTTATATTATTATATAATCTACTACTACTAAATACAGAGAATTTCATAATAGATTAACCATATTATTGTAAGTTTTCCATCAAGTGTTAAAAGAAATACAGTAAATTTATAAACACATGTATCATGCCCATTAATTTTAATAGTAACACAATGTTTACCATTGAATATGCATGTTATGTTTCTATTGATACAGTAGTTCAGTATTTAATTTAAAATGATGTATACTTTACAAAAAAATTCTGATTGATGTGATTATCAATACAATCAATGTGTTTGTCTGTCGAAATAAATTTTTATTTGCCTTTACTTTATTTCAATGAACAGATAATTGTGTATTTCATATATCCTACGAAATACTAATACGTTATATGTTTGTTAAGTCACTGTGTGTTTAACAATAGATTACAGAATATATAATTAAATTCAATATTTTCTCAAAAATAAAAATCACAATTTTATTATAAATTTAACTATACCATTTTATTTAAACGTGTTTACCATGTTATAATTATAATGATAAGCTAGTTATTTATAAATTCAAATATAATGACAATAATATCAATAGTAATTAGCATTTGGTGTATAATATTTATTAAAACATGCGAAACATCTGATTCTAAGGCTATTGCATACCTACAGCCCCAACAAATTCATCTCTCACTCGGATGTAAAGTCAAATAATTTTGTTTAAAAAATCAATTTAAAAATTTTGTTATTAATTAAAATAGCGGCTAAAAGTGAGATGACTATAACATGGGTTACATTCAACATAACTGATTCCATAGTAAAGTATGGAATAAATAGTTTGAATACATCGACGAACGGAAGTGTCACTCAATTCACTGATGGAGGGCCGGAAAAGAGGGTCTTATTTATACACAGAGTTGTATTGACTGCACTTCAACCCGGAGTTAAATACCGTAAATTAAACAAACATATTACATTTTTTAGTTATAATACTTGTTGTGATTTTAATTATTTTGAATAATTTTAAAACTATTTGTGAAATAACCAGAATATCATTGCGGAAGTAGAGAGGGTTGGAGTGCAGTGTATATGTTCAAGACATTGAATGAAGGGATTGACTGGAGTCCTAAGATTGCCATTTATGGCGATTTGGGTAATGTTTTAGCAGAAAGTTTGGGACCACTTCAAGAAGAAGCACAACAAGGAGTGTATGACATGATTATGCATTTAGGTTCGTCTCAACACCCATTAAAATACATCTTGTTCACTTAATGACAGATCTTATTAATAATTTATTTTCAGGTGATTTTGCGTACGATTTACATGATGTAAGTCTGAATAGTAATAATTATATTTTATAACTTATTTATACACTCAATATTTTTGATAAAACTTTTACCGTATTTGTATTATGAAAACTAGGATAACGCTAGAGTTGGCGACGAGTTTTTCAGGCAAATAGAGCCAATGGCCGCGTATGTGCCCTATCAGGCCTGTCCTGGAAATCATGAATACTATTAGTACGGAAACATTTGACATTTTGCTAAATAAACATTAATTTAGTATATTTTTAGCAATTTTTCCAATTATGACAATAGATTTTCACTTATATCTGAAGGCGATTCCGTGTCAAACAACCACTACTGGAGTTATAATATAGGATCCGCTCATATCATCTCATTCTCGACTGAATTTTACTATTATAGTAAATATAGGATTGAAACTGGCCATGATCAATTGAGATACCATTATAATTGGCTCGAGAAAGATTTAACCGAAGCTAATAAACCAGAAAACAGGGACAAATATCCATGGATTATAACTATGGGTCACAGACCACCATATTCACTACATGACGTCGATGAAACTGTAAGTTAGACAATTAAGCTTAATTTTAGTTAATTAATAACTAGATTGTTTAACAATTAGATTAGATTAGGTGTTGTGTCAAATGGGAGTCGATTGTATGGTTTGGAAGACCTTTTCTATAAACATGGAGTGGACGTTGAATTCTGGGCTCACGAACACATTTACGCCAGACTTTGGCCCATATATAACAATACCGTATTTAATGGCACAGAATCTGATCCCTATACTAATCCCAAAGCACCCGTACATATCATATCGGGAAGTGCTGTGCGTTTGTTAACTTCAATTGTATTTTACATTCGGTATATAATTGTATTTCATTTCAAAGGGTTGTTATATGAAAGAAAGAGAAATAACATCAGACAAACCTTATGTTGCAATGATTAACGCAGATTATGGCTATAGTGTTATGACTATTGTTAATAAAACACACCTTAATATTAAGCAAATATCCGACGATAAGGTAAATGAAATTAATTAATTATCTGTAAAATTTTTAATATTATTTAACTATAGAAAGGAGAAGTTGTGGATGAAATCAATGTCATTAAGGAAGTACACGGACCTCAGGCCTGGGTTTAATTCATCGAGTTTTAATACAACATTTAATAAATATTACAATCAAAATAACTTAATAAATACATAAATTATACAAAAACTCAAGGAAATAGTCTGAGGGGTAAAAATCTGCTTATATTAAGGGGAAAACCAAATTGTGTTAAATTAAGTTTAAATTCCGGCATTTTAAACGGATTCTTATAGTCTTCTTCGATGAACTGAACGCCTCTCTCGGCTAACATCGAGACTATAGCGACGCCCTGTTCTGTGGGCACCGGTAGAATTGTGTTAAATTAAGTTTAAATTCCGGCATTTTAAACGGATTCTTATAGTCTTCTTCGATGAACTGAACGCCTCTCTCGGCTAACATCGAGACTATAGCGACGCCCTGTTCTGTGGGCACCGGTAGGACAGAGGCGTCGATCACCCGAAGACCGGTAACACCTTTGACCCGAAACTTTTCGTCCACCACAGCGTCTAAGTCATCGGCGGTTCCCATACGACATGTGCCCACCAATTGTAGATCACTGGTCATTGTGTAGACAATACAGCGCAGGTATGAATCGCAGTACTTGTCGTAACTGCAGGGCTGACAGCCGGGCACTGGACTATCGATGGCGTCGATATAGTCCGAGAAGTACGACGAGTGATATATACTAAACGCTTGTTTCAGAGTCTCCACCAAATCATCGACATCTGACTGAACGCTGAAGACTTGCGGATCAATCAGTGGTTTGACAAAAGCGTTGTTTGACTCGAGTCTCAATATGCCATTACTTTTGGCTCTTCTCAGCACTGCTTTTAATTTAAACACTGAATGACCCAAATATTGTTTGTAATAGTCTTCCCATTCGGTCTTTAAATGCATTTTATCCAACAATTTATCCAATTTGTCGTCAATAAAGTCGACATAAGACAAAACACATCCATTGCTAAGGTTTGTCTTCTCATATTGTATTTCTTTGAAACACTGGACACTGGAAGCGATATAAGTGAGAGGACCCGTGTGTTCGGTGTAGTAATCGTATTCAGATTCTGTGCTCAACACTGGCTTCTCAATCGACTTCTGGTCTTTGATGTCATAATTGAGTTCAACTGAGACCGAGTGCTTCACATTTGTGCCCACTTTGAGGTCCGATATGACAGGAATTTTCAATTCGTCCAAATGTTCTTTGGGTCCGATTCCCGACAATAACAACAATTGTGCCGAACCTGTCATTCATTATACATTAATTATATATTATTGTAATAATTAAATCATAATAAATGAAAATGATAAATACAGACCGACAGCACCGGCACATACGATGATTTCTTTGCGGGCTTTGATCACCCAAAAGGAGCCCTCCTTTTGAAACTTGACGCCAATCGCCTGATTCTTGGCGTCAAAGAGCAGTTTAGTTACAAATGCATTGCCAAATGTGTTGAGATTTGGCCGCACTTTGGACTCCAAATAAGCGGACGACGCGGACAACGCGATCGCCTCCTTATTGATCATCCGTTGCATTACTGTCACTCCAAACGGTTGCCTCCCGTCGGGCAGAGTCTCGTTGTAACCCAACTTTTCCGCTGCCATCAAGTATTTCCTGAGTATGACATCCGGATTCACTGTTGACACATGTATGGGACCGCCCGTCCGATGAGTGCTTTCGCGCTGTACCAAAATTGTGTCCAAATTGTTTTCCGCTTTTTGAAAGTATGGCAACACATCGCTGTTGGACCAGTTCTTTATGCCATACCATTGGTTCCAGTAATCAAAATACTCGGGACTCTCGCGATAGTAATTAAGGCGACCGATAGATGACGAGCCGCCAAACACCCTCCCGGCCGACACCGGTGTGGCCTCTTTGCGGGCATAATATGCATACTTTTGTGGCACTAATTCGTAATTCCAGTCAATCTCCGATCCGACTAATGATGGCCTCAACGCTATCGTCAAGAATATAGACTTAAATTCAATTCATAAGTGAAAGCGGTGTGAATACTGACCGGGAATATCGGTGGTAGAGTTCTGTGAGCCGCCGGCTTCGAGGATGAGAACAGTTTTGGTGATGTCGTCGGCGAGTCTGGCGGCCACAACACTGCCGGCAGTGCCGCCGCCGACCACCACATAGTCATAGGTCGTGAACCAGTACTCCCGGGACACGAGAGTGTCGTGTTTGAACTCACGGCTGTTTATAGCGATAGAAATTGCTATCAATTTGATGCCAATGGTAGCCATTCCTAGTGCTGAAACACATTTGATTTTTAGGTTAGAATTTGTTATGTGTTTAACAAAAAAATAAGTGTTAAAAGTTATGTTTATTGGTTCCAGAAGTACTGCAACTGAACTGAACTTATTGTGTTCCCATTATTCAATATAAATAATTCATTTGTTTAATTACTTTATTAGAAATTGCTTTAAATTTTCCATAAAATTTTGTATGCATAATGCATTCAATATTTATAGTCAACTATCAATTTATGACATACCGTTGCCGTATATGCTTACAGTGTGTTACAGTTGTAATTTTAACATTTTAGTAAACCATGATTATTACATACTGGGCAACTAGCATTTATTAACCATTATATTTTTATAACGGTAAAATATATTATATTAACTAATCGTTTATAAATATGATGGAAATGCAAATGTTGACAAAATTTGAAAAATGCATATATTTTGTTGCAGTTTTGGCTTTTTAAAATAAAATTATGGTCAATTTACAACAAAACATTTTAAACAAAAATTTAGTTATTAGTAAATGATTTTTGAAAACTTATTAATTTGACTAAAATTTATTGAATTTATTGTTAAATAAACCGTAATGGATACAATATTTAAAATGTTTAATTTAAAATTGAATTTAGCACAATATGTTTATGTTTGCGGTTTTATGTTTACTGTTCATTAAAACTTTTCACAGTAAAAATAAATAGTATGAAATAATATAGTTAAACAAATATTTATTAAATTAAAACATTTATATTGACTAATAAATTAAAAATAATAAAATAAAATAATTGACAGTCAAAAGGATGACTCATTTCTTTTTGCCGATTAGACCGCAGTTGCAGTTCTTTGGAGGCGAGCAGTCGTTTTTGGCCAGAATGGAGAACTTGCACGACTGGTATTTCATACATTCCATTCCACAACTGATCTCATTGAGAGGGCCGTCGGCCGACACCTCCACTATACTGACCAACAATACCACACAAACCACAACTAGTAATCGCTTATCCATTTGATTATCTGTAATATTTAGTTTACAATTAATTCAAAGTCTAATTAATAGTCATGTAATTTTGTCATTAATTTATGTATAGAATTGAAATACACTCACAATTTGTTTGGTTAATCTGTCGATTAAATGAATTGACAAAATAGTGATTTTTGTGAAACAATTAGACCGGTATTTATACACAATTGATTTGTTGATTATTTCCTATATTGAGTTTAAAATGTGTTTTTTATATGCATTTTAACACTTTTCAAATGCATTTATTGAACTCAAAATCTGATTATTATTCGTAAAAACACTTGATTTTAGAAAATTTCTTTTCGGATTAACATATATTTTTGGGTCTTTATTGTAAGGTTTGTTGATCTCTGGTTTAATGACAATATGGTTGATATAAATTCCTATTAATCTTTATTCAAAACTTTATAATAAATAATTGTACAATTAAATTATAAATGTAATACTAATTATTTAATATTTTATATAAGTTTAAGGTATAATTAATTAATAAATTTGCAAATTTAAATTATTTAATTTTTATTTAGAGTAACAAACAATCACGCAAAATTACAATGTAGTAATAAGTTTAACAGATTTGTTTAAAATTTTGTAAAACTATTTATTAAAAATTTACATAAAAAGATATCTAAAGTTAAAATTACATAAATAAGACAATCATTTTCCAATTACATCACAATCGCAAACGTTAGAAAAGGTACATTCACTTTTGGATAAGATGCTGAATTTGCAAGCATGATACTTTACGCACTCGAAGCTACAAGTAAATTCACCAAGGGAATTATTTGAAGCACTATTTTCACGTCCATTTTCTTTAGCATTTGCACCCCCTTTACCGCCACCATTAGGGCCTCCATTAGCCGCCCCATTAGGTCCGTATACACCATAAGTATGTCGCGCCGAGATTGTAGTGAGCGATATAATCAAAACTACAATTATCACCAATTTATTCATCATTTCTTCAATTTATTTTTTACAAATTTTAAAAAAATATTTTTTTCTTTTTTGATAACAATTTGCAGAATTGACACAAATATATACAAGAAATTGACCCACTTTTTATGGTACTTATTCTATATTCTGTATTCATTGTCAACCCTTTTTAATAAATGTCCCTGGTTACAATTTTAAGAATAGTTTCCTTGTAATACATACAATAGTGTTTGTATTCATTAAATTTTATTAAATTAAATCACATTAAATGTTTGTTTTTATAAAATGTCAATGAATTTTAATTTAAAAATATTTACTACATTTAAAAATACAATTAATTTAAATATATAACCCGTTTAATGATAACATAAATTAAAATTCGTACAAAAAATAATAGACAAATGAATAAATGAATGACTATTTGGTTCGTTTCCATATATAAACGGCTGTATTTCTAGGCCTCACTTCACCGGAAGATAATTTAAAAGACATGTAATAGTTGTCGTCTCCGCCATCAGAACCGGTGTACAAATCTTTACTCCATTTGTCGTTCGGTCGCAACTGTTCGTTAAAATTACGATTTCCTGATTTTTGTTTCACTTGCGATACAACAGCCGTAAGTCTGGGCGCACTGTCCTCTTGGATCTCAGAGAACGGGTCAGAACTGTTGCCAAACACCCGGAAGAATAGCCCGCTATAAGTGTCGGTAATGTTTGACCACTGGACCGCTGGCCATAAGATGCTGGGCTCGGGCTGTCCCGGCAATTGCACGTAAACAAAACCTAACGGCACTGTAATATGACATAAAATAAAACTAGAATTATACACATATTGTTACTTAATTATAATTATAATAAATACCCGGATTATCGATAAACTCTCTGATGTAAAACTCTGCGGCCGCCGTCTCTCTCAATGATATATCAGTTTTGTTGTTAATGACCTCCAATTTAGACTCAATATATTTGGTTTTTTCTTGAAATAAATGAAATTCTTCTTCAAAATCGTTGAGTTTTCGGTGAAACAACTCTTCACTTCTCTGTCGAAATTCATTGAAGGCTTTTGTGATAAAATTCAATTGTGTTTGAGTTTTGAAGAGCGCTTTCTTCACAGATATGTGATTCAATTCCACGTATTTCTGACACAAAACGCGATTCTTCTTATAGCAGACAACGTCTTCCCATTTGCCACTCGACAGCATCTTATCGCTTGACTCCAGTGTCCGGTCATTGAATTCAACGATCTGTCCTCTCATAGACTTGTCGCTCAATTCAATGGGTCCTC